GTTGAGACATTTATCACACACACTTCCGCTTTATTGAAAATATTTAACAGTCGAGTAGCATTTGTCTCTTGATGGTGCACCGGCAAACCAAAAACTCTCGTGATACTATCCCTCCACACCAGCACAATACTCAACAGAGAAGTACATCATTTTGATAACAAATGCTTTCTGATCTGTTGTACACAACACCACCTTGTTAGTCAATTCAGCACTGCCAATGGCAACAAACAAGTTTCATAAGTGTGCAGAATGATCTGTGAAAGTTCCATACATTTGTGTCCAATAACAGAGATTATACAAATTTTAACTGTCAGATGATAAAAGAACTCTGTCTGAAATTATTAGAATATTTACAACGATGGGCCATAAATGGACCAAAATACCAAGTTTCATGATGTTACATAACCCAAATAGAAGAGGTCTTCTTTACTACACTTTCACATCAATGCACCTGAGCATGCATGTAACTGGCACTACTACATGGAATGTGCCTTCCTTCAAAGTACCACCAAAGTTAAACCATAACCATACAACAGAATACATAACAAAATTCCTGACGAGCATCATGCCAGGAAAGTCCTGTGACAGAGCTAACTAATCAAAATATGTAGCATTTGAGGTTTTCACAGCAATGAATAAGAAGAATTCCGTCTTATGGGATGTGGCGCCGCGTAGATCGTGTGAACTGACGTTTTGGAGGAACACACGATCTACACAGTGCAATTTCCCAGAATATGGAATTGTTCATAATCAAAATATGTGACAATTTCAGCCAGCTGTTCTCGTCTATCCACTGATTACGCAAAGCCACTTGACAGCTTAGACAAAAGAAGACTGAGACAGAATTTATAATAAATCCTTGTTATGGTCAGGAATTTCTTGGATTTTAATTACGAGCATAATGGCCACATCTCTGAGAGTACAACACACATTTAGTGCTTAATGAGCCTTCTGTTCAACTTACAGTGCAAACATAACAAGAATTGTCTACTTCCAAAACGTGAAACTGTTCATATACGCAGACAATAAGCCCAACAAATTCAGCAGACTTGAAAGTTGTATTTAACATTATGAGTGACTGGGCAAGGGAATACAGACACCATGGTCTGTAATGGGAGCAAAATTAAAGACATTAAGATTTTGCTGACTTCTGTCGTGCGACCATGTGTAATTTTGTGGATAGGTACTAACATTTCAGGGAAAACTGGTGCCCTCATCTTCATGGTAGAAATGCACTTGAAGATGGAGGCATCAAGTTCCCCCCAAAACATTGGTACCTATCTGCCAAACTACATACTGTCACATCCCAAGAGAGAGTAACCTTCAGGGTCACCACTATGACAGCCTTGCTATCTCATAAAAGTAATAAACACTTCAAATCATAAAACTTACGAAGTTCAGAAAGGGAAGAAAATTGGCAAGACACTACCACTTCACCAACAGTAAGAACAAGCTCAAAACTGTGTCAACATTCAAATGCCTGGGAGTAATGCTGCGACAAGCATAATTACATTAAACCTGCATACTCAGGATACAACAGTGTCTGCACCTACAGCAATCCCAATATTCCAAACTTGACTGTGACATCATACAATACAGTAGCAGCCCTCATCAACCTTAAGGTCTCTCTTGTGGTAACCTACGGGATTGAAATGGCTCTGCAGAATTTCAATGAAAGTAACTTGAAGAAGCCTGCAGGAGTAAAAGCTAGGTTTCTAAATACTATGTATTTCAAAACATGCACGCACACACACCAGTCTAGCCTCAGCTGGAGCCACAACACTTCACTGAAGAGTCTACTAGAAATTATAACATACAAGCAAGTTCTACAAGAAAGGTATGAAAATAATTTCCATCACAAAAGAGTTCTATTGTACAACGACCATGACACCAGACATGTCAACAAGGCTGAATCTGAAACTGCAGCATACCTAAACCTGATCTGCTGTCTATGGTTTTCACAGAAGAATCTGCATGAACACTGCCTACCATGAACCTGACCCAGCTTGCATTTGCACACTGTACAGCAAAATATGCTACTACCTAAGTGATTGCAGCAACAGGATGAAATCAGTAGATTCACTTGTTGGAAGATGGTGACAGTGAGACAAAATGTATTGTCACTAAAACTTTCATTCCCTATATGTACACTGTACATAATGTGTTTTATTCATAATAAATTCTTATTCCAAAACTGACTGATACATCAATTTCATGGAAATGTTTATAGAAGGGCTTTGTACAAATGACCTAATGAAGACCACTAATATAAATGAATTGGATTGGGCCTTTAAACTGAAAACACAATCATATATCAGCCATTGCAGTTTAAAACACACTATTAGTAATTTCCCATTCTGTATAGTCACTAAGTTAACCCTTCCGCACCGACATCCGTGTGCTTCACCGACCCTTTAAATAATTGTATGCCACCGACATCTGTGCAGTGCACCGACCTGCGCAGTGTTAGATTTGAAGGACTTTGCTGACAAAACGAGGAAAGATATTCCAATTTTCTTTTCAGGAGTACATAGATTAAGGTTTCGTCTTTCAATTGGTATATTAGTTATATATTTTGGACGAATTTTTAGCATGGTATTTTTATTTTATATCGTTAGTGTAATAGTTCGTACTTTTGTCTCATTGCGCCTAGATTGCATTGAAATTTTTCAAATTCTAAGTAAGGAAAATGTATAAAACTATATATCTTTCGACTCTATGGTCTTTGCTTGTCTATATGAGTCACTCACTGAAACCCCAGACGAAGGTTTTCCTTCAGTGTGTTGCTGTAGATTCTGCAACACAATGAAGTAGTCAAACAAGAGGGTCATTTTTTCCTGGAACCAAATGCAACCTAAGTAAACAAACTTACGAATGATACAGAAATCTATGATGTCATAACACATTCTTCTGTCAGTCGCGCCATAACCATGGCCTCTACAAGTAGGACAGTTTTACATGACGATGAACTAGATGAGCTCCTTGCTCACGACTCGGAAGTTAGTGAGTTCGAATATTCGGATAGTAGTGAAAACAGTGATAATGAAATTGAAGATCAGGCTGTAGTTGATGCTATCCAAGATCATAGTATTGAAGATGACGACGAAATAGTGGCGAGGGTTCCAGTGGCGGATTCAGACGAGAGTTATTTTTGGCAAAATATGGATAATTATGATGGCATTTGCGAACGGTTTTCTGAAAATTCGGGGCCGAGAAATCAGTCTGTGAATGTGCTCGACATAGTACAGACATTTCTATTATTTTTACTGAGGATTTTGTAAACAATATCGTTCAGGAAACAAACACTTATGCGCAACAAATTTATATGTGGGAGGGTTTTTCCATTTAGATAACACCATCCCCCGGCTTCGTGAAAGACATTTTATTAGTAAAATTCCCCCATCAGGAAAAAAGGCTAGACCACAAAGGCGATGTGTAGTGTGTACAAAAAACAAAAGAAGAAAAGAAACCGTGTACTGGTGCAGTGATTGTGATGTTGGGCTATGTATTGACCAGTGTTTTCAGGATTACCACACCAAACTCAACTTTTAGCAGTTTGAGTGAGTAAAAAATATTATTTATCATAATTATATTACAAAATATATATAGTTTTGTTCTCCGTTTCATTATGAATATTTCTGTGAAAATTTTATCTCAATATACCTATTTTTGCGAGAGTTACTAAATTTTTCATGGATAAGTGCATTTTTCTGTTTAATAATTAAATACCCCGTCGGTTTGGGGATAGGAAAAGATTTAAATACTATCCGTTGCGGAAGGGTTAAAATGCATATATCTGCAGAATAAATGTTCTAAAATGTAATGATGTTAACAAACACAACATTTTAAAATGCATGATGTCTGCTTACCATGCAACATGACTTGAAATTCCATTAACATATGAGATCCTTCCTTTAATTAAGAATAAAAATCTCATAAATACTCAGTATGATTCTACAGTTAATGAGAAGAAAATACACTGTACTATATGTGTGAATCACAGTCCACGTATTAAGTCACTATCTTCAACTGTTGCAATTCAAAACATCTTAGTACCACTAATGCGGTAACGGAAAATGATGTCTAACAAAGGAAACAAGCACGGACTACTTTAATATACCCTGAATAACTGATAACTATAATAAGCCTAAAAGAGAAGGGCCTGGGAAATTAAAAAAACAAATCCTATTCACCAAGCACTTCAAAATAATTTTGGCAGAATAACACGGAACATAATGAAAATGTGTGACAACAATGATCACAGAATTGTAAAGGAAACACCTAGCACATACCTCCCATTTTCTTTAACCCATCAGGCTGTGACAATTTCTAACTATCTCTTGCATAAAAGAAACAGATATTAGTACCTCTATGGAAAACACTATTCTTATGCCGATCATGTATACATACAACCATGCTGCATAGTTGTAATTTTTTATCAACTATGAAACTAAGCGGAACTGTGAGGAGGGGAAAGTGGTCCCATTTTACTTGATAATGCTTTCAAAGTAATTTATGGTGAAATTTCCTACCAACCCACACTGAAGAACAGATATATACTTAGCAAAACTCTGGAAAGATAGAAAAATGTGTTTCTTACTTCATGATGTGCGGTCGTCCAGTCCTTTCATTATTACCAACAGTGTAATCACTATGTTTACTTTTCTGTCAATCCATGATCATGTACTAATGTTCAAAATGGAATCACAGAAAAAATTTAGCAGGTACTGTTCCTACTGCCAATGTAGCTACCTAAATATCTACCCTTGACATTTCGAAATACCATTTTACGCATTGTAAATAAAACTTTTACAATATGAGAGCAATTAAACTGAAGAATCACATTCACTATGGAGGTCATCTATAGGTCAAGATGGCAAAACACCACTAACAAACCGTTACCAAATTTACTTGTCACTTTCAAAACTTGAAACGTAACTATTCATAATGCAATATAATGACAATGAAAAATTGGTAAACTTCATATCAAGCAAACATACTTAAGCCCTATTGTTTTTAGGTGTTGACCAATCAGTCGCACAATGTCTTGGTTGGTCTTGTCTATTATCTTAGGTGAAATTTCCCCATTTGGTCCTCCATTAATTGCATTGATCTCGGACATATGTTCGGTGCCATTCTGTTGACTTGAAGATGCGGAATGGTCTTCGGACACTCCATTGCGTTGCGTACAGCCATTTGCTGCTTGCTGCATTGTAGCGTCCAAAGTTCGTGATTTTTTTCGCGGTGGCGGAGCAAGTCCACCGTCGTCCGACTCTCCGCTCGAGGCCAGGCTTGCTAACAGGTCGCCGTGATGAAATTTTTGGGCGCACACGATACTTTCCGAAGAAATTTTGTCGAATCCAATGTTGACCACTCACACTACACTGCATACACCTTCGCCACAGCTGAGCAATGTTTAGATTGTGACGTCATAAACAAGGACCTGGGCAAAAAGATCGTCGACTAGCACTTCCTAGCAAGTGGAACAAAAGTATTCCTTAATTTAACTTCAATGCGAGTCATGAATGTTATGTGGAAATTCACATGACTAACACTAGATGACAGGAGATTACACTTATGAATCAGTCCTTTTACATAAACAACCGATAGATGGTAATATAAGCGTTAATTACCTAACCTCATGGCGAGCTACAGATGGCCGGATGGGCATTGCCTAGGCCTCTTTTGTATTTACATTTTTTCTTACAATTAAAAAAGAAATTCTCATGGGGATGTGATCTACATGTGAAACCGCCAGTTGCGCAGCTACTCCAGAACTTCCCAAATTTTATGGAACCCTAAGGGTCATTACCGTGTTCACAAGTGCCCTCCATTGGACCCTATCCTGAGCCAGATCAATCCAGTCCAACCACCCCTTCCTAACTCTCTAAGATCCATTTTAATATTATCTACCCACCTACGTCTTGACCTTCCTAGTCGTTCCTTGTGGTCTCTTTCCTTCTAGCTTTCCCACCAATATCCTACATGCGTTCCTCTTCGCCCCTACTTCGTGCTACATGCCCTACCCAACTCATCCTCCTTGACGTGTTCATTCCAATTATACTTGACAATATAAGCGCTGCTCAGACAAATCAGTAAACTGTACCAGCCTTTTTGTATTTCTTTAATTACGGTTTATATAATGACACGACTAATAGTTCATTCTATATGTGTTGAATGGTAGGACGACAGTACCGTCGCGGTACAGTAATTAACACTCTTGTTTCGTATTCGTGTGGTACAAGGTTCATATCTCCTCCCAGAAGCTGGCTCTGCAAACAGGCTTTTCGTAGCTTCCTCACTTCCTCCAGGTAAATACCAAGATATTACCATAATTGGGCTACGAATACATCCGCATCCTGTCCTATGCATTATTCACTATCGATAATTTCTAATCTTAGCAAATAAACGCGATATTGAATAAACCAAGAATATGTAATTATATCGAAAACATTCTGTTCTGTAGCCTAGCACCAGTCAGTCAACACAGAAGAGATCACTTAACTTGAATGCATAGCATTTTGTTTACTCAAGTGAAGATATTTTGACAAAACTACGAGAATTGGTATGGTCATCCTTGAGCAGTTGAAGTTATTCAACCGACAGTACATTTTCTCGGTTTTATGGAACATAAATTGTGCAGTCCTAAAATGAATGTTAAAATCCGGTAAGGAGTAAGGAATATGGCGCCATGTAGCTTGGTAGATAGGTACCAGCGTTTCGAAGGAAAGCGCTATTTCCAACTTCAGATCAGAGGAGACCTTAAAATGGAGACAGCTTGTTCCTCCGAAACGTTAGGACACTTCTACCAAACTGCACGGCGTCACACTTCAGAAAACCATAATCATAGTACTGATCGCCTATGTCAACCTTAAATCTCACATCGATAAACGCAGCAAAAGAGTGTGCGTATGTTCATGGCTCGCCACGAAAGTAACTCATGAAATGTTGCATACTTGCGAGCGACAATAACAAATCAATATAATATTTGCAATTAAAGATGATTTATTCTTTCAGATGCGTAATTGGATTTATTTCGACGGAAGTTAAGACAAAATATGAACGTAGACACTGCGATGCAAACAATTCAGGAGAAAAATCTTGACCCAATAAAGGATTCTTTCTGAAAGATCATCTGAATCTATTATAGGCGGCTTAGGAATAGATGATTAGACTAATCCTGCATAACTGATGACCATAATGACTAGGAGTGCATATCCAAAACATTCATGTTTTTTAACTTTCCCACTGGGTCTCCAAGAATCTTTCTTTTGTACTTCCTAGCCTTTGTCACTCAATGTTTCGGCAGGCTGTGATTGCAGCCTTTGTTTGTGCATCGGTCTTTGCCTAATTCTTCCCTTTCCAGTATCAAAATGTGTTCTAATGCACAGTTTTATGCTCTACTAGAAGAAAATCTAAACACGGTGATGAACCTTCGGGTTCCATAAAATGCTGAGAAATTCTTGAGTAGCTGCAGAATTGGCGGCTCCTCAAGAAGGGCTCAGCTCCATGAGTAAGTAAGTAAGTAAGTAATTTCATTAATCGCTTTTACATGTAGCCCATTTTATCTTAAATGTAAAAATGTAAAAGTCGGTGGAAGGACATGAATATACAAGCAGCTTAGGTTTGCACATCTCCTATGACAATTAACAAATTTACATGCAATTTAGTACTGCATATAATAGACCATAAATACTATTTTTCATCATATTACGGGATGCAAAGTTGGAAAACCTGGCCACTTCGAAATTGAGAGAAAATCATATTGCTTTCGATAAGACAGTACATAATATTTCAATGAATTATCAACTTCGCTCTAATTTTACTCAAACAGATATCGCATTTCTAGAAGCAAGAATATTAGAGAGGTTATCTTCAAAGTGTATGAAGTACAAATTTTTGTAGTTTTGTTTGCCTGCTTGAATGCTACGTCCCTTTCTCTTGTGTTCGGAATGCGTGAGTTTAGTAACATTACCGAACATACACTGCAATAAAAATCTCCTATACAACGCATGCCAGCAATTCCTGAAGTAGACGCGAGCCTGCACACACACACAATCGCGAATTCAGGAATAAAGCAGTAGAACATGTTGTATAAAGTGTAGAAACACTGTAATGTAACGGATACTATTTGTTACGAGGAGAATTTAACTAGTTTAATGTAGCCATACACATGTGCTAAGTGCACATGACATTCTACATTCATCGCTGTTTTAAGTAACTTCCGTATATTCTACCCCGATAAAATTATTACGACAAAAAACAGAACTAAACTCCGTGGCCTGTAGTTCGCAAGTGAACTATACCGACCGAGGGACCGCCGCTTGTCGGCGAAGTTAGTGCCAACTTTTACGGATAGAAGATGTCACGTGGTCAGCGCAACGGATCCCCACGGCCGCTAATCTCGGTTTACTAGACCGGAGCCGCTATTTCCTTGAAATGACTCCTCAGTTATCCTCATGAGGCTGAATGGACCCCGTTCCAGACCCCACTACTTCTCAGAAAAACCGGTAGCGACGGAAAGCGAACTTGGGACCTCTGGATCTGTGGACAGGAACTCTGACCACTAGACCACAGAGGCGATCTTTTTTTTTTTTATTGCTAGTGAGGTGGGTCTAAGTCCCTTGTACTGCGGCCACTTCTGGCCTTTTGTACCAGCCCCAGATGACAGGTGAGGGTGATTGTGGAGCAATTGGTGGAATGAAGATTGGCAGGGGAAACCGAAGTACTCGAAGAAAACCTGCCCCAACGCCACTTTGTCCACCACAAATCCCACTTGACCAGACCCGGGATCGAACCCGGGCCGCCGCGGTGGGAAGCCAGCGACTAACCGCTTGAGCTATGGCGCGGCCCCAGAGGCGATCTTACTATGACAAAGAGGTCTGTAAAGATAATATAAAGGTATACGAGAAGTTGAAGTTTGCCGATAGTCTGTTGCGGCAAATTCTCCGCTAGCAATATGACGCGCAGGTCCAAACCTACGGTCTCAAGAACTACTCTCGTGTTATGCGCATTAATATTTACTTTAGATTTCAGAGTTAATTCGCGCTAAATTTATTGTAATATAATAATAAACTTTTTTCCAATATCAATGCCATGAAGGTTCCCGTCTGCTTTACTTCCCGTGAAATGGTCCCCAGCATGCATCGGATTGGTGACGTGGGCCCCATTGACGGCCAGGAAGTGATGGTGACAAGCAAAATCTCTCTCCTTGTTAGGACTCCAGTTTACACATTTCGCCATTCTACCTCAATACTAGACATTCTGTGCGCATTTTGCTTTCTTTAATGGACCTTGTACTGTCTTCGGGCCCGATTACAGTGGCCGCGCGGTCTAAGGCATGCACCTTCTCCCTCCGTTCGAACACTGGGATCGTGGTTTCGAATCCCACTCGAGGCATGGACATTTGTGTGCGTTTATTCTGTGTTTGTATTGTTCTGTGTGTGGGTAGCGGCTTTGCGACGGACTGATCCCCAGTCCAATATGTCCTCTTGACTGTATATAAATTAATAAACTGAAAAAGAGGCGGGAGTCCAGAAGAGCTGTAGAGCCATAAATAGGTATGTTCGTTTGTGTTCCGGACGTAATGGCGTTGTATCTCTGTCGGTAATTTTCATTTCTTTCTACCCGTTGGATATATATCAGGGTATAACTTCAGTGAGATTTTACGTATCATTTTTCACGACTCGACGTTTACAGTAATTCTCGACTGTCATTCGACGCTACATTATGGTTGTTTTTGACAATATATTGTTTAATAACAAACAATTTATTAAGCAGGACTATAGTGGACCCCACTCAGTTTAGAAGAATACAGAAGTTCAAGGTTACAATCACATTTGTTTTTCAAACGCTTTCGTATTTCCATTATAAACAATCTGTTACGCTTCAGTTTGCTCATAACGTATAAAGTGAAAGCCACGATTTTACTCTTTTTCGTTTCTTTTCTTTCTTTTTTTATGCCCTCAAATTTAATCTTAAGAATTACAGAATGAAACATGACTAAATTTCATTTTTGGGGTTCTACAACCTACAACCTACCTACTCTTGCATTATAACTCCGCCTTTATGAATCTCAAATAAAACTCTGTCGATATTTTCGAAATCGAAATTCATACTAGATAAAGACTGGAAGGTAATAAATATGGTAAAATATAGATTGGCCTGTTTTTAAGGCCTACAGCTCTTATTTCAAATATTTTTCAGTGAAGTGAATATTTAGTACAAAAAAAAGTTAAACAGAGACAAATATTTTCAGAATTTATGAAGTAGTGCACGTAGTACACTTAGTGCAAATAGAATTCGTTTCACCAACCGCCTCATATTCACTAATCACCTCATCATCGACGTCATATAGATCCGATACCAACAGTACCGTTATATTCATTCATTCATCAATGAATCTTCAATATTTTGCTGGGTTCTGCCGGAATTTTCA